ACGACCTGATTATCGAAACTTGTGGATTCAGAGGTTCTACTCGTATTCTCAAAATTATCATTTCATTGTGACACTTCCAATTTTCAATAATAGCACGAAAAGTAGTTTCATAATTAAAGAGATGGATTTTTACAATTATAGAATCTCAGTGTTATCTTGTTTTAGAGATCAGATTCTAAAAATTCTACGTATTCTCCAAATTATTATTTTAATGTAACATTTTTCCAATTTTTAATATCACTGAAATATTCGTATAACTAAAGAGCTCAATTTCTTCAATTATAGAATCTCAGAGTTTAGACACCAGATTCTAAATCCTTCAGCAACGTTCTTCTCGCGAATTCATTCTATAAATAGCGGCCACCAATTTTTGTAGGACCGTAGGCCGGCCACGTCTCTTCTTGGAGACTTGACGACCGAAATTCAAATACCACCGATTGCTTTTCAAATACTTCAGCGAAATCCTCCTCTGTCCTTCCCCGCGTGAATATCGTTATCTGCGATCTAAGCAAATCTTTCCCAGGTCATTCAACGACGGACTTGCCCACGTACCGATTAATTCTGCGAGATTCCCCACCTTGTCTCGATATCCGAGGATCGAGGCGTCTCGCGTTTGCGAAATGTTCGGTATCTGGTGTCGGTGGTTATACCTCCGTCGTCGGTACGTGGAAGGCAGAGGCAGGGCGGGGAATAGATAGATAAGCAAATAAATAAACTAGCGGGGCAAGGTGAGTCCGAGGCGGCGGACGTGCCAGAGAGATAGAGAGAGAGAGAGAGAGAGAGACAGAGAGAGAGCCTCGAGTAGGACCGGTGATTCTCGGGCGAACGTTCTTGGACGAGGTCGACGGCCTGACACGGATGGTTGACGCTGTGGGGCCCGTCTCGTAACCGGCCTGGGAAGAAGAACGAGAAAAGGTAGATAAAGAGAGGAAAGGAAAGGGCCCACCGCTGTGGAGCAAACGACGCGTTTTCGCCCTCCGCGAAGGCGATAGATCGCCCTGTGTACCCCCCGGCTTGGTGATCGGTCTGGGTCAGCTGGCAATTCTCCTACTTCGGAGTACTCGTTCTCCCTTTCTAGATTGCAGAGGAAGGATCAGAACGATCGTGAAGTATATGGATCGCTCTTGAACTAACAGGGTGGTCCTGTGCCCGTTTCTAGTATATATTAACTTTAATCTCGATTCAACTTACTGTTCATCTTTTTCTAGTTTCAAGAATTGGAAAAGGATGAAAGGTCGAATCGATCTTAATTCTCTATTGAGTACAGCGAGTGTCCCAGAGTGTATCGTGCCCCCTGCCCGTCGATCTCTCTCTCTCTCTCTCTCTCTCGCTCGCTCGCTCGTTGTCCCCCTTCTTCCTTCGGTAAAAGTGTGATCGATGGACGACGAGACGGGACGGGTGGCACGAAATTGGGGCGTTGCGTATTTATCGCTCCTATCTCGCCGCTATTTACCGTACCTGCGGCTTTTCGCCGCCGGCCCGCTTTTATCGTCCGCTCATTTTCCTCCCCCCCGCCCCCCCCCTACTCTCTCCCCGTTTCTCACACCGTTATAACTTGTACAACACGCGCGCGACCGGATATTTTTTATTAGATTTCTTTTTCTCATTCGCCGCCGCTAATCGAACGCTTCCTCGCGCGGCCGTTTATTCTTCCCTCGAATATTTCTCTTATATCCTCTGTTATTGATGCCACGGGGATCAATTAATATCTTTAAGAGATGCTTGGCGCCGCGTTTGTTTCAATTTGATTAGCAAGAATTCTGTTTTTTTTTCTTTTCTTTTTTTTTTAGCTATTATATATTTAGATATTTATTATATTTATTTGCTATCATTTTCTGGCATATATTTTTGTTTAATTGTTTACGAATTTTCTATTAAAAATAATCTCGTTTTAGAGAAAATTTTCTCTGGGAAAATAAAATGTTTATATTTTATATTTACCTCCACAATTTCATTAAACAACATTATTTATTTATTGTAATTTATTATTTTTTCAAATTTTTCCTCTTTTACATTATATAATCCATCTCATATTTTAGAGAGGGTATACGTTTAAAATTATATAAATGAAATAATACGACATTCGTTGTCGACGTTTCGTCCCCAACAAATAGTGCTTCATTACGGCGGCTCGGAAAATCGTAAAAGCCGAGACTGCCTGATGAAGTGATAAAACTTAATTCGGCCGTACAAACAACGTTCGTTCGTGTTTTTCGCGGGCCGCCTTCCCGTCTATCTACCCTGATTTTACGATTTTTGTGGAGGTTTTTACGGAGGCGGGGGTTTATTTTTATTGGCGGCGTTATCCCGCGCCGGGGAGAGGCGCGGCGATTCGAAATTACGACGGAGCCGCAAGAAAATCTGGCGTATAAAACTGTGAAGAAACCGTCCCCGTTCGAGCACGGCTCGCGTTTATCACCGCCGACTTTAATGCAATTCTCGCCAAAATTATTCCTCGGCTCGGAGTCGGGAAAACATCGCGGTACATCAAGATTAATTTCACTCGCGAACAATTAATTATCCGATTGCGTCCCGCCTCGTTATATCGCTCCCTATGCGCGACTCAGTCGTCTGCGATTGTTGTTATTGCGTATCGAATCTCGCCGCCGCGACTTAAGAAGATTCCGCGCACGTGGAGTGTTTCTCCTTGTCGAACATCTGTCGCAAATAATCGTAAAGCTGAATTCAACGAGCTGCGCATAACGTTGTCGCCAGTCGCAGCTTTACGTCATCCATCACGCCATGATTTCCAGTAGAGTAGACATAATTATTCAATCATTATTTGGTTGCGATAAGATATTCACGGAGATTAATGACATGAAACAATCAAGGATATATACGGATGAGCTTGTGTCTGATGTTTGGATCTTCATGTTTTATCGTACGACAGATGTTGCAAAATAACGATGGAAGCCGAGAGATGGGATTTTTTTTTCCTTAATTAACATGTCAAACAGCCGATAGCTTTTGAATTGAAAAAGTTTCATTATAAAATCTTGTGTAACTAAATAATGAAATTTTAATGTAACAAATTTCATTATTGGGACATAATTTAGATATTATTAAACAGAGACGTCGTGAGAACAGATTATATTGTATATAAATTAATTTAAAAATCTTATCAAAGTTCAAGAGTCCTGCAATCAAAACAAAAATATAGTGATAGCAACTATAAAGGTGACAGTTACAAGTTTTAAATGTAGAATTCATGTATATATATAGTTGAATAAATCACACACACACACACACACACACAATTCGCCTATCTTGCTTTCAAAGCGCAAAGCTTAGATTCTTCTCTTCGATATCTTCAGTCGTCAATGAAGACTCTTGAAAGAGAGGAGGATACAATAAAAGATCGCGCGCGTTCGTCGATCGCGAAAGGCGGGAAACCTGTTGCAATCTTTCGTACACAAAGCGTTTTTTCGGCGGAAGCGCAACGATAATGACAACGGAAAGAAAAGCTCGATCGTCTTTCGAACCGGAAACGAGGGACGATTAGGACTGCACGAAAGAGAGACGTTTATCTGGCAGGGACTCCCGCGATCATGATCATTCTCTCCTCTCGGAGCGGAAATACTCGAGCTCTCGGCACTTTCTCGTCGGGGCCGGTTTTCGGCTTCACCCTTCGACCATTGAATTTCATACCTCTTTCTAAACGTAGTATTTAATCGTCTTCAACCCCCCCTGGCAAGATTACCGAGCAGGTACCAGGTGGAACATCTGTTGCTCAACCTGTATCGCGCTATAATGCCTTTTACGCTCCAGTACCGATCCCTTTTGCGATTTTTTTCGTCTATCATGTGAATAGGAGGAACCAGAGCGCGCGTGAGAGAACACACCCAGTCGTTTGGCGCATTATAAAAAGCGTCTGCTCGCAAACGGGTCGCAATTACGCACTAGGTCTCATAGAGAGGTAGCCAACAATAATCTCTTCCGTTGTAACGAGGGAAATCCGCCCGGGGAAAACGTTTCTTGCTGGTCTCAGCTCGAGTCGTCGTTCCTGTTCCCTCGGTCTTGCATCGTGATCTTGTTAACGGATACAAATTCGTTCTAACCCGCTGGTCCTTCGAATTCTCATAATTAAAGCCGTTCCGTATTCAGATGTTAAGCAGCAACTTGTCCAACTAGCGATTATAATATTGCTCCATATATACACATATACACACACACATATATATATATATATATTTATTTAAAAAAATATATATTTGTGTATCGAAAGAGGATGTGCTTCCGCAAAACATTTATGTAAATAATGGAACACGCGTGCGACTTACGAAAGCGCGCGTGATTAACCCTGTAAACTTTGGACTTCGGCCGCGTATAGCCTTGATCTTCCAGCGCGTGTGGGCCGCTTCGTGTCCACGTGAATGCGTTTCCATTTTTCTATGTGGCGCACGAGAACGTGCGTGAACGAGACGCCTCTTTCTCTCTCTCTTCGCCATCGTCCTCTGACCCGCACGACGTGACCACGTGCCGGTCGGTCGCGGTGACGTCACACTTCCGGTACGTGATTTCCTGGTACCGGACGACCGTTGGCGGATGAGAGGAGTTAAGTACCGGACACGGGAGGTTCGCGCCTCCTCCTCCGCCGCCTCCTCTGCGCGAGTGTCTCTCGCGTCTTCCGGAGCGGAAAGGATAATGAGTGCCTCGCGAGCAAATATTTGCAAGCGGAAGGGCGACGGTTGTCCTAACGTCTTGAACTCTGTAGTTGTATTTTTTTTTTTTTTTTAATTAAATTAGGAAACGATCGAAGAATTTTAGACCTACCTCAATTTTAGATTAATTCCGCGATTAGAAGCGAAGCGACGTTTATTTTCGGTCTCGCGTGATCTCTGACTACTTTATCAAATTTATAACACTATCAGCAGAAAGTTACATGAAGCGACAAGGCTGTAGATCCTATTTTAACGATTCGTTATCGACGCGCGAAAAAGTAGTAGAATAGTCAGGCGATCACGGACAGTATGTCTGACAAGTCGTGTTTCTTCTTGCAGCGTGTGGCGAACCAGGCGCTTACCGTTTCGCCACAGCCGGCAGTAACGGTGGAGGGGCCGGTGTCCAAAATGTCTCCACCGACGAACGACGTGAACAACGGTGTGGTAGCGTCTCCTAGCACCCTGGCGCCTCGGGTTCCACCGACTACGAACCCGTCCCTCACCAACCCACCGACGCACAAGCGTACCCCGAAGGACTTCATCTTCGGCAAGGTGATCGGCGAAGGAAGCTTCTCCACCGTAAGTCTCCTCTCCCCTTTATTGTTTTCATGAATTTAATAAAAAGAAACTTAATGTGAACATAAATTGAAATGTTTTATAACAAGAAATATGAAAAGAGAGATAACGAATCTGTAATTTTTTAATCCGACAGGTTTACCTTGCCAAGGATATCCACACCAACAAGGAGTACGCGATTAAGGTGTGCGATAAGAGTCATATAATCAAGCAGAAAAAGACCGAGTACGTGAAACGCGAGAAGGAGGTGCTGAACATGCTCGCGGACGCCAAGCACTCGTTCGTGCGACTGTTCTGCACCTTCCAGGACGCGGAGAGACTATACTTTGTCATGTCGTACGCTAAGAACGGCGAGCTCTTGCCTCACATCAACAAGGTGGGCTCCTTCGACATCGAATGCACCAAGTTCTACTCGGCCGAGATCCTACGCGGTCTCGAGTATTTGCACGGACTCGGTATCATTCACCGAGATCTCAAGCCGGAGAACATCCTGCTGGACGAGAAGATGCACGTGCTCATTACCGACTTTGGCTGCGCCAAGATTCTCAAGGACGATCCGGAGACGCCCGCGGACGCGGACTCTCAACAGCAACAGCGTTTTAGGGAACGCAGCGGCTCCTTCGTCGGTACCGCTCAGTATGTGTCACCAGAGCTACTGACCAACAATAGCGTGAGCAGAGCGTCCGATCTCTGGGCCCTGGGCTGTCTTGTCTACCAGATGGTCGCTGGCCTGCCGCCTTTCCGTTCGAGGAGCGAGTACGTGATGTTCCAGAAGATCCTGAAACTCGAGTATGATATACCGGACGGTTTCTGCGAGTTGGCCAGATCGTTCGTTAATCAGCTTCTCGTTTTGGAGCCAACGCAACGATTGGGCGCTCTGGACGAGCACGGCGCTGGTTATCCCAGCATCCGGGCGCATCCCTTCTTCAAGGGTGTCGACTTCGAAACCCTTCACGAGCAGACACCGCCGCCTATTTATCCGTATTTGCCCGGCACGTCGGAACGAGAAGAGTTGAGGTCGCAATACAGGGTGCCTGATAATCTTGAACCCGGTCTAGACCATAAACAACTCACCAGGCTTCTCTGGCTGAGTACCGAAGACACCGATGATGACAACAGTACAGGCGCAGAGCAACGCGCTGTTAACGCGTTCTTCAACGAGATAATCGCAAGCGTGGACAAGCCACTGAGGAGGTGCACTAACAACAGATCCGACAGCGGCGCTAACATCGCCAATCTGACACCGGAACAGATCAGGATGCGACTAGAGAAACAGCGCACGAATCAGTGGCACTCTTTCGTCGAGGGCAATCTTATACTGAAACAGGGCTTCGTCAATAAGAGGAAGGGCCTGTTTGCCAGGCGGAGAATGCTCCTCCTTACCACCGGACCACATCTATACTACGTCGATCCTTTCAATAATGTTCTCAAGGGTGAGATACCTTGGAGTCCAGAACTCAGGGTCGAGCCAAAGAATTTCAAGATCTTCTTCGTCCATACGGTAAGTGTTTTATAATATTGTTAAAGTAAATTATTAAGCATCCGATACTTTTGTACCTTTTTGACAAAGAGATGGAGATTAAAATCGTACCTTTTGATGTCTCCGTTTCTATTCAATTTCTATATATAAAAAAATGAAAGATATTTGAAATATACACATCAAATATATCTAAACTTTGATGTTTTTGTTTATAGCCGAACAGGACATACTATCTCGAAGATCCCGAGGGATTTGCACTGGAATGGTGCAGAGCTATCGAGGAGACGCGAGTTCACTGTTACGGCCTGCAGGAGATGACCACCGCTTAAAATGAAAACTGGAGAGATCCAAAAGACAGAACACATAATAAGTGGTAAAGTCCGCGAGTGGCTATCGCCAAGGTCGATCTGTTCTCGACGAGAAGAGTTGGCGAATCGTTTGTTCACGTATTAGCCCATAGTAAAAAGTGAACTAGTAGACTTATTGCGCGCATTTCGAATGGTGCGCTCTGTACAGTTTATAGGCAGAAATTTATTAAGCAAAAATTCCTACCTCCGTCATCGAGAATCACCATCGCGCGGTGTCCATTATCACTTACGTTCGCTATTTATTGACGACCCTTTAGAGAATCGCATCATCCACGCGCGAAAACCATACGATGCGTGCGCGAAGAAAAGACGGAGGATTAGAGAAATTTTTAGCCAAGGCTTCGGCTGTGTATTCGCAGCGCCTGTTGCCGTGTGACGTAACTCGCGTGAGATCGAGGTCGCCCCGAGGCAAAGGAAAATAAAGTTCACGCACCCGTAAATTTCGATGTTTACAATTCTCGCGATATGCATAATCCGGATCCCACGGCACGAACAGAAATTTCCACGCGAATCGGCTTTCGAGGAATAAAAATTAAAAAAAGAAAAAGCAAAAGACCGAATTGTGTCCCAGAAAGGAATGAAGGATCCGCCCGTTCGGAGGCGCCCTTGGTCGCGCAAAACACGCTTCGCACGACGCTATTGTAGTACTTTATTCCTAAATATAGTCCAATTCCATACACACACGCGGATAAAACGATGCGTATTTAGGTGAAATTAAAAGCTGCGCGCGGTAATGTCGCCGCGCGAGCTTAGACGTCAATTTAGCCAAAAAATGGGAAAAAAAGAAAACGAAAAACGCCGTGGAGGATAACGAGACACTACGCAGCTTTAACGAAACCGTTTTACGTCGCCTGTAAAGGATCCTCGGAATCTCGCGACGTTCCGGGCGATCTTTGCTCTCTTCGCAGTGTACAGACAGTATTCTTTGTTACGTCGTTCATCATCATCCCCCCCCGCCCCTCTCCTCTTCGCGTATTTCGTATTCTCAACCCCTTTTCTCATAAATATTCTCTGTAAATATCATAAACGCGTTTCTACGAAGAGCAGGCCGCGTAAAGGCACTTTGTAACATAATAGATACGTAAGTAGAATAAAAGGGGAAAATATCGTTGTCTTACCACGGCGTTTTTCGCTCGTTTAATTACGCTTCTCGTCGTCTGGCCCTCGCGGATTCGAGTGTGCGATCAGATGACTTGAGGAAATATCGCAGAAAAGGGAAAGATCGGTGTTCGCACTTTTCTTCCTCCGTTCGTTCGAAGTGGTAGCGATGAAGGAAACAGGAGCATAGGAAACGAGAAATTTCGTTTTCCCTCCCGCGAAAGACTTACATGCCCGTGAAAAGGGACTCTAGATTAATATAGACGTTTTCAATAGCTCTTTAAGAAGCGCTATAGTAAAATTCGCTCTCGAGCGTATCGCCGATTCGTTTTTATATCGTCATCAGCGCGATTATTATTTATAGTATAATTGATGTAGTGTTCGAACGAAAATTATTATCGCCCGCGACCGGTGACGCGTACGAGTATTACGAGTATTCATTTTCCTCGCATATGTATAAATTAGATATTTAATTTAACACGGTCTCGCGCTTCGTTAATTTATTTCTACCGTTACTTGCCTCGAATTATTTATTCTCGTTTTTTTCTTCTTCTTTTTAAATACCACGCGTCAAGGACCGTGACGTTCGTATATAGAGATTACAGACTAGTTAACTATCTCGCTACACCACTCCGTACGACTATATATTTATATATATTAGAAAATATAGCGCTATTACTACTATTACTATTACTATTACTATCGTCACCACTGCGTTGTTGCTACGTTACTGCGTACATATATATATATTAAATATATTCTATATTATACGTCAACTATTGTCGTTAGACTTAGCTGTTTTTAGGTATATATATCTTTATTGCGAATACGTACTATCGCATTGATAAGGGAGGAGAAAGAAATTAAGATGCGATTCGACCCATGATATCGCGACCGAGCCGTAGTCCAATTGTGTATATAAAGTGTACATTACTAAACATACGAAAATATTTATATAGATATATTGTACGGTATATATATATAAAATATTTATATAATGTAAATAGTCTGTAGTTAGGGGGAAAAAACTGTATAAATGTTTATAGGGTAAAATCGCGTTTAGGTTTAATTCTCGTTGATTCTTGGCACGGCTCGTTCGCGATTCTGCGCTGACGAAAAACTTTACTTTTCTCTCTTTATTTTTCTTTCTCTCTTTCTCTCTCGTATGACGCAGACATAAACAGGGTATTTGGGGGATGACCAGAGCGGTCGGTGGTTGGCGCGCGTTGCGTCGTGCGATGTTCGAAAAAATGGTGATTCTTTATGGAATCGGCATTGTCCTCGCTGCCCTAGTGGCTTTGCTCAAAATGACCGCTTTTGGCGAGCCGCGTATGGTGTGGGCGGACGGGAAACGAAAAGCGGGCGAGCAACCACCGTCAACGTCTCGATTCAGACTCCTTTCTTCTTTTTTTCTAGTGAGAACTGATCGCGAAAGAGAGAGAGAGGGAGAGAGAGAGAGAGAATATTATTCTTTTAATTTAGAATTTCGCTTCAGGTGAATCGCGTCTCGATTTCGCAACATAATCTGTCTACCGTGAACGAAGCACGTGTGTCATGGAATTTTGGTTTATATATATACATATATATATCTCGCGTGAAGTCATACATAAAAAGATATATTTTTCGACATAGAAACAAATATATTCCCGTGCATTGTGTAAATATATCACACATCGACGTTGTGCTTCTTTTCCGGGGAGAGAGAGAAAGAGAAACAGTACGTACTATACAATGTCCGATCGCCGATCTCGTATCTTGTCGAAGTCTTTTTCTTCTTTTCTGTATACGAGATAGGGAGAACGGATCGCGCGCGTCATTTTCATCGCAGGGAAACTTTGCAGGTCCTGTATTTTGTGTAGGCGTTGCAAACTTTCAGATGGGAACGCGCGCGCGCGCGTCTTCTTCGAGGGGTACCCAACGGCGCATTTCGATTTTTCTGAAAAAGAAACATTGTCGGACGTCTCTCGTTCGTCCGGCACTGTTCCTGAGATTCCTGCCGCCCTTCGGTCCGTACGTTTCGGACCTTCCCCTCTCACTATACTATATCATAGCGAAATAATCGGTTTGGACGTGACTTCGTAAGGAGACACACCAAGGCGCTACGTTTACTAAGAGAAGAGATATAACTAATTTAACTAGGCTAGAAGTTTTTCAGAGGAGACGTATACTTAATTCGAAATTCTTACACCGTTACGATATCGTTTACGATCTGCGAAACAACGCAAGTAATAACAGCAAAGTTTTGCGGATGTTCAGATGCCTACTGTTTCGATGCAGCAGAAACGTTCAACTATTGATTGCAGTATTACTAAATGTATACAGATTAAATGTAACACACTCTACACATAACACATACACACACGCACACAACACACAAATACTGTCAATAAACACTTGCGCAACTTACGAGAAGACTTTGTAAATAGTTAGGATATAATTGATATTATAGGCGCCAAGATGTATTAAGAATAACATCAAATTTATTCCGAATAAATCTTCCGAACTATCGCATAAACATGTCTTTATTAATCTTTCATGTCCCATTCCAAAAATTTCCTTAATGCGATACATTACATACAATATTGTAATTATTGTCGTATTTTAGATATATATGCAATATAACATACACTTTTTTGCTATGTATTATACTGTTTCAAGGTTGTAAGCTTATAAATAAGTCACAAAGATATAAAAAAAAAGAATTTATTTTCTAAAGATAATTTATACGTTGTTTTATTATACAGAAGTTTTAAATTACATATTTATACATTATACGCTTTTCATAACTTGCAATTATCGATGTGTGTTAACAAATGTCTTTTTAAATGTGGCATATTTTTCGGCTGTGTCGAGCATTTGTGACACTTCAATTTTGTGTTCAGATAGTCTGTACACGCCTGCGGAGAAATCTTTTTGATTTTGCCGTCTATACGCAACTGATTGCATACATCTAAAATTCAATGTGCTTTTATATATGTAAATTATAATATAAATAAACATATGATACAAACCTTGCGAATGTAAAAAGAATGGCGTCGTAAAAGAGTTCCAATGATATTTAGTTTTAAGGCAAGGACTATTAAAATCCGTGCTTATTACATGCAGGTGCAGCCTCTGCATACTTGGCATCGCATGATAACCTATACTGCTCAAGAATTAATATTGTCTTATAATTCTCAAATGTATAACAATAATTCTGTGTTACATTTTTCTATATACTATATATATATATATATATATATGTGTGTGTGTGTGTGTGTATGAGTCTGCGCGCGCGCGCGCGTGTGTGTGTGTGTGAGACAGCATACATATACATTCTTATTTTATCGTATGTGTAATAGAAATAATTACTATTCATTATTTTACTATTAATACTGTTCTATTTTAAGACTCACAGGAATTCATGATCTGTTTGGTCTTTTATCAGATCACATGCAACATCATGCATATATGTTAACAAATCTTGATGTTCATTTTTGATACGCCATATATTGAGAATATCCTCCTTTGGTAAAACCAAATAATGAAATTGCGCTTTAGGATATTTATCTTTGATAACAACTATTTTATCATCTTCTCTGATTTTACATTCAGGATCCTCTATTGATTTAAGTAAATTAGCTGACCAATGATGTGTTTTTGCAGTCGCTATTTCATTAGTTGGGGCTTTACGTTTCATTATCGCAATTATAAATCGTAGTCGTTGAATGATGCTATCAGACATTTACCTAAAAAATATATATATATATAAATTAATATATTATGTACATATATATATATACACATACATTCATAAATTTATATACATACACGTATAGTGTTGAAACAAAAGTTCGTAGTGCTACGAATTACAAAATTTACGCAACTGTAATTTCATTAAAAATGAATGAAATTTAAATTTAAAAAGGAAATTTTAAAGCTTATAAAATCTTTACTTTTGAAAGATCACTATAACTTTAGAGTTTCTGTAAGTTTGATAATTTTTTGATATGTGGAAACAACGAGTTGAACAAATTGGAAATTTTCTTTTTTATGGGAAAATGTGTCCAAGAAAAATTGAGAGATATTTTCAAACATGAAAGTTTAAAGTTTTTTCTACCAAATTCTTTTCAGAAATATTCCTAAGATTTTTGTTCGATCGATTACGAAGTTAGTACTCTAACCTACAACACGTATATGGTGAGGCAGATTCCATATTTTGCACTTTAACTTGCACTTTCAATATCTAACATGATTCTTGAATTCTGTATATAAATAAAAACAAGACACACGAATTAAATGCAATGATTTAAAAAAACAAAATACGAAGTCTAACCAATAAACATCAACTTCAAAACACTTGGAAATGGAAGGTTAGGATTGTCGAAATCGCCCGTACACTACCGCCAGTACATCCATTTTCAGTTTGAGAACTATATGACTACATACATTTTCTGACACTATCAATAAAATCGTACCGTCGAAAGTAGATGTGGTTCGTCTCTTTACTAAATCCTCAGGATAGAAGCCTGCCGACTATCCATAGGCGGGATAGTTTAATGAGTCCTTGAACGAAAAAATATTGCATCTCCTACATATATAAATAAAAATGGTTGAATTTTAATTAAACGAAATTGAAAATTCAAACAAGTTAATTTAGTGAATTTTGTCTTATCTCATCGAAGAATATTTAGGGTAACTCCAGCAAATACGCCGCGTTGGGATTTACGCCGCAGAAAAAATAGAAGTGGAGGTAATTTTCCTAAAAAATGCACTTAAAAAAAAGTACTAAAAATGTACTAAAAAAAAGAGAAAAAGCATGAAATAAAATAGGTACAGATATAAATATATATTTATTATTGATTTAAATATGTACCTACATATGGACATATATTTCAATCTGTATATAAATATGTATTTTATTTATAATTTGATCTACATTTTAATATATTTAATAATATTATTTTATTATAATTTCGGTGAAATAAAATTTAAATATTTCTTTAGCTTATAAAAAGAGCTTTTTATTATACACATATACACATGTATATGTATATATATTGTATACACATACAGTATATATACATATGTGTATATATATATTAATACTCACTTGCTAAATTTGCATAATATAATATTAATATATTGCAACAGAAGGTAGCCCTTTAAAATAAAATAAAAACGTAATAATTAATGTATTGCAACACAGACGGTAGTTTCTTATATAAAATAAAGATTTAGATCACATTAATCAGTCATATTGTTTGTTATTATGTATATAAACAAAATCAATCTAGAACTTATTTCTAGAACTTATTTAATATTTTTTATTTTAAATAAATTGTAATAGTTATTTTCTCGATTTTATCGAGAGAGAGAGCCATGATCAGCATTATTATACGTAAAGAATTTAAAGAATTCTTGAAACGGAATAATTTGCAGCAATATAGTAGTATCATAAATTAATTTTTTAGCTGAAAAATTAAATAATGATTAACAAGATATTTAATACTTTTAGCCAAAGCTGTATTTAGCGTAAATTTTTTCGCAAGAATAAAAAAATTTACATGTATCTTTATATCAAAGATATATAGAATATTATCAACCTTTATTTAATATTAATTATTTAAAAGAAATAAAAATTGAGACATAATATTGGAGTATCAAAAATACTGCACGCGAACAATTACTAATTACGTTTACAAGAATCGCACAAATAATATAGGATTGAACAAGTGCTCTGTGCTAGAGATGCCACAGAGTAAAGCCCGAAATGTACGACGATACCCGTTTGTCAAAATTATATAAAATACGAATAATTGAATAAATCGTGAATATTTTTCATATGCAATAGTTGAATATCTGAACGACGCCTGGCGAAAAGCGAGGGGGAGCGCGCCGCGCGCGGCGCGGTAGTTGATTACGTCATCACTTCGGCATTCGCTCGGCGATCTCGGAGGGAGGTAGACGTGTGGCACAAGTCGCTCCGCGTGTCGCGCATTAATCTGCATTAATCCACGAAAATTAGATATCCACGAACGCGAATTGATAAATTATGTAAGGGTGCCCAACTAGTAATGTTGTCCAAAACTAAGGTGTGTACTAAGGATTATATCTCAATCTTTATTGCTTTCTTTAATGATTTACACTTAAATAAAGATTAATTATAAATTATATATTCTTTAAATAAAGATAAATGCAAACATTTTTTAAATTATAAAACAATTTGGACTAAATATAATAATGGGTATAAATAGAATTCATATTATACATTTACAGATGTATAAATTAGAGATATCTAAGAGCGGTATTCATAGTCCGTTCTTCTTTCAAGATTGTCTTAAGTAAGACGTTAATACGGCCCTCTTTTCGTGACTTCTTAAGACTGTACTTGAGACGGTCTTGAATATAAACTCTGACTATGAATACCGGTCCAAGATATAGATGAGTTGTGTGCGTAACGAATCCAAGAAATAAAACAAAAGTCATATAATAAAGCATCTTGTAATATTCATCGATGAGTATTAAAACGTAACGAGTAGATTATTTTACTGATTTTGTAATATTCGTTAACGTTAATATTTCGACAGTTAGATAATCGGCGCGCGACCTTGGGGTAGGGATGGCACGGGGTGGCACCGAGCGGCGCGTTCACGTTTACATATACACGTAGTTACCGCGCAATCATTTTTTTACCGAAGCTCATACAAGTAGGTAGCCGTGTCGTGTGCCGCTCTTCTTTACATTCCTTTTTAAAACATAATCGCGAATAATGCTAAATATAATACGAAATGCTAAATATAATCCCAAAATCCCCGCTTGGCCTCCCCTACTATTATGAGTAAGTATTCTTACAAAGAAAAGAGGATCGCCGATAAAATTGGGAGCGGGGGGGAGGGAGTGGAGGGCCTCTATAACTCGTTTTTGTTAAATATACCTTAAATTGACAATATATGTTTAGAAAAGTTTGAATTTATTAAAAGTCACTATAATTGCTAATAATTATAGAAACTTTAATGCATACTATTAATTATGTTTGGTAAAAATGGGCTGAAAATTTGCATACAGAAACATTTTGTAAGACATTATAAGATAAATATTCTTCGACGAGATAAGACAAAAATTTCACTAAATCAACTTGTTTGAATTTTCAATTCGGTTTATTAAAATTCAACAATTTTTATTTACATATGTAGGAGATGTGAAATTAAAATTTTTTCGTTCAAGGACCCATTAAATTATTCCTCCTATGGATTAGTTGGCAGGCTTCTATCTTGAGGATTTAGTACAGAAACGAACAACATCTACTTTTGACGATACGATTTTATCGATAGTGTCAGAAAATGTATGTAGTCACGTAGTTCCCAAACTGAAAATGGATGTATTAGCGCGGGTAATATACGGGAGGTTTCGAGGGTAATAGGAAAGAGGCCGGCATGGTCTCTCTCAGGTTTCTCTCTGATATTAGCGATACAATCACAGTCTCGAAAATAAATATGGTGCGAGTCCATGCTAAATTGCTTTAAAAAGTATAATGTAACACATGGATCAATAAGTCCCGAGACTAACCCAGAGATGACGCTCGTAGTAAACCAGTAACCACGTCTTTCTAGAGTACTAACCTTTGCTTGAAACGTGTCAAAATTTTAAGTCGATCGGACCAGAAACAGCTGAGTTATCGAGGTTGGAGTAAAGTCGTTTTGTAGTTTGTTGAAAAAATGGAAAAAACCGAGTTTCGTGTTCTGATAAAACATTGTTTTTTAATGGGTAAAAACACCGTGCAAGCGAAACAATGGATTGAAAAGTGTTACCCGGACTCTTGTCCATCAAAAGCAACGATTTGTCGGTGGTTTGCCGAGTTTAAACGTGGTCGTACCGACACAAATGACGCTGAACGCTCGGGTAGACCTGTGGAAGCCGTTACACCGGAAAATGTGAGTGAAGTGACCAAAATTATAATGAAAGATCGTAAAGTGAAGCTCCGTGAGATTGCTGAGATGACACAGATATCATATGGAAGTGTATTTACTATCCTTCATGAAAAATTGATGATGAAAAAGGTTTTTTCCAAGTGGGTGCCGCGATTGCTTTCGATGGAACAAAAACAGCAACGAGTCGATGATTCAGAAAGCTGTTTATCGCTATTTACTCGCAACAAAAAAGATTTCTTGCGTCGTTATGTGACCATGGACGAAACCTGGATACATCACTACACTCCAGAGTCGAAGCGGCAGTCATCTGAGTGGCGCACAGCTGGCGAAAGCCGTCCGAAGCGTCCGAAAACGCAGCAGTCAGCTGGCAAAGTCATGGCGTCAGTTTTTTGGGATACGCATGGCGTGATTTTCATTGACTACCTCGAAAAAGGTAAATCGATCAACAGTGATTATTATATTGACTTGCTGGTGCGTTTGAAGGAGGAAATCGCAAAAAAACGACCGCACATGCAGAGAAAAAAAATCCTTTTTCACCAAGACAATGCACCCTGCCACAAGTCGATGAAAACAATGGCAAAATTGAACGAATTGGGCTTTGATCTGCTTCCCCACCCCCCATACTCGCCAGATTTAGCCCCCAGTGACTACTGGCTCTTTGCTGATCTTAAAAAAATGCTCCAGGGAAAAAGATTTGGCTCAAATGAGGAGGTCATCGCTGAAACTGACGCTTATTTTGAAGCGAAAGATAATTTTTTTTATAAACATGGTATTGAAAAATTGGAAAAGCGTTGGAACGATTGTATCACCCTAAAAGGTGATTATGTTGATGAATAAACAAAAATTTTGCAAAAAAAATGTTGTTTTCATTGTTAGTCTCGGGACTTATTGATCCATGTGTTAAATTATAATTCGTGAATTATTTAAACATTTTATAAATATAAAAATATACGTGTTACTTAATGTTCTATAACAAAATTCTTCAAGATATAACTTCAATAAATTTTATTTATTGTTAAATATTAAATGTATCATGATAATAAGCATTACGCTCATTCGATAATTCAATAATTTACTACAAAAAAGTAATGATAACGGTGTTAAATAACACGTTATTTCAGTCCAAAGAAAAGAAGACTGTCGATTAGAATTGGCGGGAGTGGTGGAGGACCTCTTAGAAATCCTTTGAAATTAGTAAATACTCTATCACTACGTTTAAATATTTAATTACTAATCAAATTATAATTCTACGTAGCAACAACTATGGCGCACTGGATCAACTGGATTAATTCTTGCAACATTCTTCTTTTATACATTTACAATGTATCTACATATTCTTTGAGTATAGGATTAGTTTCTATTACTGTAAATATAATTAATTTATTTTTTGAAATTTTTTTTAATGCACAGATATCGCGGATAAAAATTGAATGTTAATATCAAATATCTAAATTCTAAAAAATCGATGAAGTATCACAAAAATCCGTAAGAAAGATGTACTATATAAAATTTCAAGAATTTTCTAATATTTTCAAGAATCACACAATTTCGAGAATTCAACCTTTCGAATTAAAATTCTTCAAAATCAACACTGTCAGGAGAATATACTGAAGAGATTGCGCTATCTAAAATTCCAAGAATTTTCTACATTTTCAAGAATTGCAATCCGAGATGGAAGGATGGGAAGGCAAAGAATGAAATAACACTTTAGCGAATAACTTTATATTTATTTATTTTACTCAAATGGAAGGCAATCGATAAATTCGCAACAAATAAAAATAAATAACACTCTCTCTAGCAATAATTACGTGATCGTTACTTAAGAGTATATCATTACAATAAATTCAATGATACTTAATAACAAAAAACTTATATGTATACCACTCCTCATGCGCGCGCGCACGTAATGCGCATACCAAATGTATGTATACGCGTCGTGTGTTTTTATGTGTGTATATGAGTGCATGTGTTTGTGTGTGTGTGTGTGTATGTGCGCGTGTGCGCGCGCGATGCTACTGCATCGTTTTTCTGTCGATGCAACTGCACGATTCGTTATATACTCGACGAAGCTATGTATACATGTATAGATGCAATCGGTTTACATACTTTACACCTTGCTTGGCTGCCTTTACTTCGTCCTGGTTCGCACTCGCTAGTCATAAAGACTTATTACTCATACGTATACGCACATACACTGCAGATGCACCACACACGACAGACTACCAGATTCGCACAGCCTGACAGATCGATCAATCATCGGCAGAATCATGATGAACGACTCGAACTTAAAATAATTTCGCGATTGCAACGTTTCCAAGAATGGTGGCTCGAGTTGCGACGCGAGTTCGATAAGATAGGGATGCGGCGTTTTATGATATAATATGATCTTTTTAATTAATATTGCCTTTTAATTACCCTAAATAAATTCATTATATGTCAAGCTCGCTACTACAAAACACACACAATCTCTTTCGTTATATTTTACACATTTATATATACAGTATTTTACAGAGAACAATAAAATCCTTATTGTCATGAGGCAACGGATGGTGACGAGTGTGACGATTTTCTACATAATGCTTGTAGCAAGGGATACTTTTCTTTTTGGCACCTTCGTTTCTCACCCCGATGCCATGTTCCGTTTCTCGTGACAGATGAGTTTGACAGGCCGTATTTATCATTTCTAAAAGCCTAAGACAACAGGAGGAAGGCGCAATATAGTAGCGATATCTTAAATGCAGATATTAGCAAAACGCGATTAAAAAAGCAGCCTTTACGACAAATCTGCAGTAATGCTGCAAATTGATTGATGCCTCGCGAGCCGTTTGCTACGAGTAAAAAACAGTATCTTGGATGCTGTGCAACTTACAAAATATATTTATAAGCGATCGATTCTCTTGGCATGATAAATAAATTATGAAATTCATAAGATTTACGGAATCAACGCTTATTAGTAATTATTCGATAAAAAAAGAATGTTTCTGCAACTGGCTCTGAGAGCTAGAGCAGGGGAGGGAAAAAGACAGGAAGACGAACCGGTTCCTTTAATTAAATGCACTGAGTTCCGGCTTAATTATTTCCGCGCGTGTTTCAAACGGATTCGGCGATGCGTTACGGGCGCACGATCGCGCTCCTCGTCTCCTCTGTCAGGGCTCTCGCGCACACGGAACATGGCAGTACCTCGAGGTCTTTAGAATTCTCCATGAAGCGTGAATATGTTTGGAATGTTGCATTTTTTTCGTTTGCTCTTTCTCTGGTGAATGCGGGAGAGGAAATGACGATCGCGGACCAATGTACCGTGTTTCGCTAATGAGATTGTGGGAATACACCTCACTAATTTTCTCACATTCAAAAAAACTAACAACTTAAATACGGCATTCTCTCTTTATTCGTACTACGTAACGCTAGTTCCGCGTGGAACTAAAAAGCTCGCAAGAAAAAACAACACTTCGAGGCACGTTGGTTGCGAGGAAAATTCGGAACGTTGCGGTATCATTACAAGTGTTTCTCTAAAAAAAGAATTAAAATAACCGCGACGTTTTATTTTATTTTATTACTTCTTATTTAGAAAAACCATCGATCGCTGCGTATTGGGGTTTCGATTAGCACCATCGCTGTCCATAAACATTAACACATACCACATGTACTCACTTAAGGGAATCTCAAAAATTGTAACTTTAACATATTCGTTACTTATTATCTCATAGAGACATAGACACGAAGTTTCACGCTGCAATAATGTTACCCACGAATTTCGGGATACCCTGTATAAAAAGTAGTTTAGATATGAAGTCAAGTATTTGAAAAATTAATAGAAGTAAATATAATATTCAGATATTTTTCATACATGTACTCAAAGTACGAATATTTTTGTGTAACTTTTATTCAAAGATACGATTTATCTTCATGTTTTGTCACAATTAAAGATTCTCTTGCATTTCATCAGGCAAGCAATCACGCTTTTTAAGATACATCTCCCACACACACACACGCGCACGCACGCACGCACACACACACAAATACACACAAGCTCTCGTTACCGAGATCGGCATCGCGGTCCCTCGTCGTTACGTCAAAGTCCGAAGCCGCTTGGTCTCCGAGGAACGTCTCAGAACAGGACAGAACGACATTTTTTTAACCCACAAAGCAACTCTCGTCTGACACACAATGTTCCGAGACGAAATCCTTCGATTACGTAGCGATCGCCTGTCGTGCGATGTGCGTAATGGTTGCGGCTCGCGACACGCGTGGCTTCGATCTCTCTTGTTCATACAGTTTGGAAACATGGAATGTCACAAAACAACAAAAAGATTACTAGTCGCGGTGGAAAGATCGAAGGACCGCGCCGTGGCAACCGATCCCGGTGGCGATTGTGTAGCTCGCTCGCGCGCGCAGCCATTCCTACGATTTCATTGCTATTATTATGATTATCGATTAAAATACGCAATAATTCCTAACATCACATGCTCTGTGGCTTAGAAAATATGTATAGCTGCGCTGGAAGGCCCCCGAACTCGCGTATTCAAACGTTACACGATTCGTAGACGTCAGGCGCACGTAGAAGTATATTTTACATATGTGTATACGTATGTATATATGCGTATGTATGCATATCTTTACAATTATTGTTATATTAGATTCTGTAAGTGTTCAATTATGCAAAGTTATGTTAAGATTAATTACGGTTGCGGGAGAGGGGTAGGCATTTGGAAAGAGGATTATCCGAGGGGATCATATACGCAAATGTTTTCTCGTCTCCTTGATTTGACACATACGCTATTTCTCGCAGTTATTAAAACCCAAGCAACACACGACTGGATAGTAAAAACTAGCTTAAAAAACCTGTTGTAAGCTGACTGACTCTTTGGGAGAATTTTAAAAGTTGATTTCGGTCCTGGAATTTTAGATCCTTTTCTTTTTTATATACGAGCGGCATGCACGCACACATATCGCTATTTCAGATTTTAGTTTCAAGAAGAAAAACATTTTATATACATATAAGTGTTATATATGTGTTGTATACATATATAAATCTTATATATATTTATATATATATATTTTATATATATGTAAATATTTTTCTGATAGACCATCAATCAAAAGAATGATATGCGTTAGCGTTTGTGATCGAAGAAGACCGAAAAATGACACGTGTGTTAAACACTGGTTTATAATTCGACAGCCTTCTCTCGTTCTTAATTGTTAATTACGATAACGATCCGCGCGATTATGTACCTATTTTTTAGGTATACCTTTGAAAACAACATTTCTCGTCTTGACGCGCGCGTATAAGTACACATAACGTCGATTACAAGATGCATCAGAGACAAGGATGTCACGAAATAGCTTATATAAAATGCATTGTACAGACCTCAAGCAACGCAATCACTGTTCGTTTTTCTATCTCGAATTATACTTTTGATTACCGAGAATTAAGTACATAACGCCGGATTGTAAGAGAGTATCTCGGGCTAGGTCGCAAAATCTACCTTATCCCAGGTCATTGGAGATAAGTCGGACGACATCTTGAAGTCAGAGTCCTCCATGTTAAAGAGATCAAACGAGTACTGACTGCTGCCTAATAATGGGTCATAAATATCTGTGGATGAGAGACTGATTGATGGAGTGTTAGACTGATGGTTGGACGATGGCATTGTCGCTGAAGGCGGTGGCGATTGCGGCATTAGGGAATCCAACCAATCAGGATCGTCCATATCCATCGGCATGTCGCAATCCAGTTGAACGAAGTCCATTGGATCCAATGTTTCCAAGTCCAATCCCAGTTCCTGAAAAATATAATATTAATTTGAATAATTGCTAATTTCATCTTATACTTTTGTTAATTATATCGTAATCATTTTGATTAATACGTCAAAAAATAGTTTTCTTCTTCTTAATAAATTTCCTCTCTAAGGAAACATACTTTGAGATCCAAATTTGCATTATCGGGAGTCACTTCTTGTGATGGTTGAGGATCTGGGGAAGCTTGTTGCACTGATTGAGGACTGAGTAACATCGCGGCGTCCAGCTCGGCCTCGGAGGTTAGAAGATCTGTGCCGAAGGGGGTAATCTCTTCCTGCTGTTGTAACTGTTGAAGTGCAGTAGGTAACTGAATGGAAAATGCGGTTAATGGTAATGGCGGCGGTGGCGGTGGTGCCGGTGTCGATGGACTCGGACAACCACTATGAGACACCTCCATCGGTATCGGACTAATCGGACTCATTGGACTGGCGGCCGTAAAAACTAACGACTGAGTTGGACTGTCCACCGGTGCAGTGAAGACCAGATTTGGCTGCAGCTGGCGATTTGGAGTCGTGGGAGTGGCTGGATCTTGCGCGGCACTTGGTGGTAGTTCGCCATTCTTGATTAGAATTTCCAATACGTCGTCAACTACTTGACTTTTTATGTGACTCTTTTGGACTGGTTCGATTTTGACCTGTAAGTAAAACGCGACAAGTGACAAAGTTATTCATAACTTACAGTGTTAGAAGAATTTGAACATTACAACTTTTATTACTTATTACTGATTATAGAGTTATAATATAAAATTTATTTCAATATTATAATTTTCCTTTCTCTAGAATTATAATAAAAAATAATCGTACCTTCAGCAACTTAGCAGCTTCGTCGTACTGCGGTGGCGGTGGTTTGATGTCTTCTGTAGTTGTTGTTTGTTGTTGCTGCTGTTGTTGCTGCTGTTGTTGAACCTGCGCTTGCGCCACGAGAGCACCAAGAAATGAGCCATTCAGCTTTGTCGGCTTCGCCAAATTTAAGACGATAGCCGTAGGTATTTGAACAGTAGTGCTGTTTTTAGACTGATTCTTCTTGTTGTTAATCGCGGTTAGAGTCGCAGAATCAAGAATAGCAGTGGCATTGTTTGGTTGTGCTTGTAGAAAAGCTGCAAGACTCGCTTTCGCGTTGATTTGATGAATCGTAGCTTGTTGCGGTTGCGTTTGTTGTTGGCTTTGTTGTTGCTGCTGCTGCTGGTGTTGTAGTTGTTGCTGCTGCTGTAAGTGCTGAAGCTGCTGCAAATGCAAAGCCAATTGTTGTTGTTGCATTTTATTTTGTATATGTTGCTGAAGTGCCAGTTTCTCGGCGCGCACCGTGGTTGGTTGTGTCTGACGAATCTGCTGAAGTTGTTGCTGCGACTTATACAGCTCACGCTGTAATTCCTCTATCCGTTTCCTCTGCACCTTGATGATATCATCTCCTGAAACACGAACTGCGTCGTAAAAACACCCACGTGTGCTGTCTCTCAAATCAACAGCCTCGTTCGAAAGTCTCATCGCCTCTCGCGCGCACATTAAAACACTTAAAGTGGCGCTCAATCTAACGAAGAGATATCGAGATGACGTTTTACCTGGCGGACTCAATGGGTCGTCGTGCTCGCTGTGGGGCGAGGCCGTTCGCGGGCTGCTCGGCTCGTCCTTCACAATAGAACACGGACTCTTGACCTGAGAGCTGGAATCATCCGTCGCCATCGGGCCAGGCGTGTCCATCAGGATATGACCCATGTGCGTTACGTGTGGTCCAGTAGAATTGGAGATCGAGTTGCTGCTGGATTCTGTGAAGGGCTTTAATCGCTCGATCAATTGCGGCTTCGAGCCCGACACTGGTAGATTCCGTCGTTTCAGTTCTACCTTTAGATCACTCACTGCAAACGCGATACACGAAATTATTTTCCGATTCTTGCGACCGATCTTTCTCTAATGCGATTTCAATATACCTTTCATATCTTCCAGTTTGCCCAAAGGCCTCAGTGGGGGCTGTTCCGAAGGATTGTTCGAAGAATTCGACGGAGCCGGGCTGGCAGCGTTCGCGCTACTTCCGCTTACGCTACCAGCATCGCTCGCGCCGCTACTTGTGAGCGATAGTGGCTTCTGCGCGGCCGGCAAGATGATCTGGGGATACTAAATTAAAAGGAAAAAAAGATTTTTTGATCTATCTCTTTATGAATTCGAAAAGCAAATATTTGGGAAAGGTGGTACAAGTTTTTTAGAAAAAAGATAAAGAAAAATTATTTATCTGAAATTATTAGATAGATATATAATATAATTCTTTTCGCTTGTAAAAAGTTTTGCTGTAATGCGCGTGCTATAATGCATGCATCAGTACCTTATGCTGCCACTCGAGCTGCCATTGGAGGAACAGCTGTTGCTGCTGCAGAAGTAGCTCATAACTGGTCTCACCGGGCTGCGCGCCGCCGAGACCGGAAGTGTTAGACGACACTGGCGTCTTTTGCGCGTTTGGCGGTCCCTGTAGCAAGAATCATTACGTAAGGAAAATATAAAAAATGCAACTCGCGCGCTTGACCATTTATTATAACAAGTTGTACACGATTCGCAACCCGAATAAACCCCGCCTTTATGCATCTCGCTTTACGTAACGTTGCTCGCGACCCGTGAACAGATTTGAGATATATTTTCCTGACATCACTGTCTGGCGCCCGGTGAAGAGGAGACCAAGGTAGGTAGGTAGGTGACGTAGCTCTCCGGTTCAGGCCAGGCCGAGTGATAAATGATACATCAAGATGTTTTCTGCGCCCTCATTTGCACGCCCATTCCCGGCTCGCTTTCACACCGGCCACGCTATATCTCGGATGTTTTGGGGCCCGCGCGCTGTTCGGAGCCCGGCGGCTCGATTCGGCTCGGCGTCTATCGGGGTCTGGGGGAGAAGAGACCCCGCGCAGCCCGCTCCCCGACTTCTTCGCTCTTAGGTGCAATTAGCGCTCGAATTACTCAGAGCTAACGAGGTGGGGGCTTCGAGCCCCGCTCTGAGGAGATCGCGAGAGTTAATCACCCGATACGATCTACCTCCGAGGTTCCTCCAGGCCCCAAAAGACCAGGGCTCTCTACGCCTTTTCGCTGCTCTCTGCGGCGGCCCACGGGAGCCGAGATTCACGGTCCATGCTCCGTTCTCATTTTTACCTCGTCCTCCTCCTTCTACACGAGCACCTCTTCTTGCTCTCATGTCGTCCTTTTTGCCCGTCTTGTTTTTTTGCCCCGCGCGCTGGCTGCCACGCCGAAATGCGGCCCTCCGTTAGCCCACGCTGACCGGCGAGCACTCCGCCACTAGTTTGTAGTGCCACCCGGCCGTTCCAGGTACACGATAATTATCGCGCGCCTCTGTGTACATTCTGGTCATGCTTCGGATTAAAAATTACTTTGCACCTCTCGTTTCATCGCTTATCGAACTCACTAGTTCGCGACTGAGCGGAGTATTTCCGGTAAAATCTTTTGGCTCGAGTTTATAACCGAATAATTTAGCAGTGCCGAGTAATTTAAGTTTAAACCAGATAATTTCGATGTATCAAACAAAAGTACTAAAAAAAATTACATAAGGGAGAGAAAGAGGATAGCATTATATAAATTTCCGTTTTAATAATAATATCTACTAATCTTTAGATCAATGTTTTATCGTTCTAATAATGAGTTAATTACCAAATTAAGGATTGAAGCAATTTGACTTCGAACGCGCACGTAATGTAGAAATCAATTTAAATTACCGCCGATTTAATACTGTATTTAATATTGTATTATTACAAAACTACTTTTGTTTAAATATTAAGAGAAAATAGTGTGTTAATCGATCAACAATTGTCTTACGTAATATCTATTACGTTTAAAGATTCACGCGATGGATCGGTGATCGTGAACAGTGATGTCAGAATCTCGATGCTTTGAGAATACCCTTTAATAACTTTCATCGCAATTCAATAGCTGTTCTGTGAAGACATAATGCCCTGCGTAATAAAATCGATACCTCCCGACGAGAGAACCAACAGTATCATTTTGCAACACGGCGATAAAAGAAAAACGACGTATGCCCTCGCGCTGCTCTCCTTCGTGCAAGTCACACAGAATGACACAGTTGTTCTCGTCGCCGAAATGTTGACACAATAAATTGAAAGTGAACTTACTTTATACTCGTGGAACTTGATCGTCCGGGTCTTGGGTTGGCTCTTGGTCTTCGACTTCTTTCTGTTCTTGTCCTTCCCGGGAGCGTCGCTCCTTTGGCACGTGGGGACGGCGGTGGCGGCTATCGGGCTCGGCTGGGGCCGCGGGGTGATCGCCGCCGGCGGCGGTGCCGGGGGCGACGCTATCGAGATGTTAGACAGGGGACTCAAGCTGGACGTCGTCGAGCCCAGGGACATCGGGCTCGGCGCCGGCGCCAATGGTAGGAGAGTCGTCGACGGGCCATTCGTCGTTTGGCTCGCCTGTTAAAAGAGAGAGAGAGATCGTCCGGTGGTTTTTCAAACTTCCACAATACGACTGACACGTGGTATCGATCGCTATTGACATAATTACGGCGACCTCCTAAATATTGGAATTGTCGGGAATTGCGCGATTAATCTTCGTCGCGCTCGATTAACACTTTCATTGCCGCCTAAACGTTTAGAAATGAGCTCGAAAAACTGCTAATTCCAAGTATGAGAGAGCTCAATGATGCGTGTCGATAAACCCAATAAAAAGATAAATGTTTGCATTAATTATTATTTTCCTGTGCTAAAACTTTACCTGCGTAGACGTGTGTTGTTGACCTTGTGGAACTTGCTGCTGACCCTGTTGCTGCTGCGTTCCGACAACGGTGTTGCAAAGTTCGGCGAACGTCTGTATCGTCGATTCCGTAGACGTTTGCTGGAAGACGGGAGACGTCGATGAGACCACAACGGCACCGCCGGTCGACGGTATGCTCAAGGAAACCGTGACGATGCCCGCAGAAGCGGCCGCAGTTTCCAGAACATCCGACGATCGCGACTCCAGTTGTGGTGAAGGCGCACCCTCCGAGCTCTGGGAGTCATCCTCGAAAGTGATGTAGTGGTCCGGATGCTGGGGTTTTGTCACTTGCCCCTCGCAGGTGGCCTTGAAGGGAATGTGACCCTCTGGAGGGAGAATTTAGTCATGAAAAATCGCGTTGACATGTACACGGAAAGAACGATTTTGCTGAAGTATTTAAAAATTTAATTAGATATACAGATCTAAAAATAATTTTGTTAAATCGTTAAAATAATTACGTAGGAATCTTATGATGAGTAATACTACAAAAAGTTTTGATATTTTAGCAATCAGTTTGAGAGTTTTATATAATTATTTTATGGAGGCTATCGCGAGATACCTTTGACCGCCCTCTCGATGGGCTCTTCAGTATGAAGGATGTTCTTTTGGATGAGCTCGAGCGGCCCAGGTCGATGACTGAGCTGATCGTTGAGTTGATCAGCTAGCCTGGCCTTCTTCAGCATTCGCTGCCGCTCCGCCAGACTCGGATCCACGTGACCTACATCTTCAAGGATATGCTGTCGAACCAACTCGTCTCTACCTGGTCTCTGCTGGATCTTCGCCTTCAACAGATCGCCTGTCTTCGCCCTTTCCAACTGCTTCCGTTGCTCGTGAAACGCCGGTGGCGTCTTCAACGCTGCGCGTGTAAGGAAAAACATTCATGTCTTTTATATCGTACTTTACTCGCCCGTCCGGGCGTGATTAATTTTAAGAGCGACATTGCGCTGAAACGTCGCGGTGAAAGCTACTTCGAGTAGCTTTGAAAGAAGTCGAAACAGGGCTGTCATTACTTTCTCATTCGTAATTTTAGATCGCAATTTTCGGTCTTTTGATCAAATGAACTTTTCTTTAAAAAAAAAAAAAGAAGAAGAGACGAATAAATGCCGAATTTCTTAGTACGCAACGTGACGCATGCAGCAGACATCAATTTCCGGAACGATGGTCCTCAAAGGCAGCATTTTGGTGTTAACATGACGCGTCCTCAGGCTCCCGCATTCCTCAACGCCGTTAAATCGGTGGATAAATGATCCCCGAAATGTGTCCCTATCACTATTTCCAGACGCGGATGCTGTCGGTGCGACGTATGCAGACGTGGACGTCGTCATTACGCGGAATAAAAGACACGTACCCACCTACGGTCGCGTCGCCGATGTCGGCAGCGGAAATGTGAAAATACATGGGCGCCCTGGTATTTTAACCGCGTGCCGTAAGTTTCCATTCAACCAGTCGTGGAATGGGGCACGCCGTCCGGCTCTTTCCCCGTCGCCAGTTTTTTTTAGCATCTTCGAGATTAATCGTGGATGTAATTCCCTTGCTCGTCGTCGCGGCCGCGAGAGATGCAACGCGTTCCTCGTCGGATATTACTCTTCGGCTCGTTACGGAGAATTTACGGTACTTTTGTGAAGGTACGAAGGGAAAATAAAAAAGTAATGGGAGGTAGGGGTTTCTGATTTCTCGTGCAGAGGATTGCACTAAAATGGGATACTATAAGATCGCTTATGGACCGATCTGTAATTTACATCTTTTCGCAGTACGTATGTTTCTTGCTTTGTTCTCTCAAGTAATTGCGATCGTGAATTCAGTTGCCACGTTGGCATCACTTCCTTTTCGAAACGACTCTAAAAAATATCGGATTTAACATTATGCGGTGTCTATAAAATTCTCACTGTATTGGTGATTATTAACGCCAACATAATCTGGATTTAACAGTATGAGTTTTAGGTTTATCATGACGGTATTGACACAAAGTGTTAAAAAAACCATTTATATGATAGATAGTACACACCATACTGACTAAAAAAGCCCTAATGGACATAGATTGAAAGCTCAACCGTTTCTGAGATTAATAGTTTTGTATGTAGTGTACTAACTGACTTCTTGTCTTTTTTTACGTGTTGCATATGAAAAGAGAGAAATTAAGATAAATAGGACTGATAGCCTATTTGAGAGAATTACAGATCTAATGAGATGAGAGAGAGAGATCTCTCATCCAATGGCAATAGTAATGGCTAATTGATGTTAACTTAAGTTAATATAAGTAATCAGTAATTTACCGATTCCCGATAAAATTTTTCATTGAATCATGTATGGAAATTGAATCAGAACATTTAGAACGTGATTTGTAAACACTTAGGTATATAAATCTTCACGTCGCATACGACACGTAAAAAACAATGAATCAGTTACGATACTAATATACAAAATTGTTTATATCGTAGAAAAGATTGAGTTTTCCTATGTTTACTAAGTTATCCTATTTTTACTCATCATCAGTATGATGTATACTATAATATCTATCATCATATGTTTTTTTTAAGACCCTGTATAAACACTAGGAGTTTAAAATCCATATTATGTCAGTGTTAATATTTTTCTATTTAGTTTTTTATAATTTTTACAAATTTTTACGTATTTTTTTTTATAATACTTGGGTTCACTGTAAAGTGTGATGGTATCATACATTAATTTTTTAAAAAATCTATTGAGTATCAATTGAGTTTCGTTGAAATTGGACTGATAGAAAAATGTATGCCGCATAGGGTTAAATCCACACCGATATTTTTTAGAGTAATTTGTTATTTCCTTTCGCAAACGAGATATTAGAGATTTGAAATGTGTTTCGAAGACATCCGACGTCCTTGCAATGACTATTCTAATCTCAGATGAACAGTCCGAGGGGCGTCGTTAATTTGCCGCAATAAACGTCGCCTTCCGCGGTTGGAATAGGCTCAAGATTCGGGAAATAAAACATGAGACACTGCGGTCTTTACACGACGATTGACATCTCAGAAGAAAAACGTGTACGTTTATTTGCATTTACATTTGCTCGTTGTACTCGCGATGGCAATACGCATGATGATGTACGATTTGGCGCACATTTCACTGTGGCGAAGCAACAAATTTGGCAGATATTTAATACTGTCGTAAACATATAATGTATTATTACATAATTACATTCAATTTTGCATTCTTACCATTCTCTATATTTATAACGAACAACTTTCCACATGTTTTATTCTTTCAGTGAAGAATTTTCAGTGTCTCTAATATTCATATAATACTTAACAAAATTTAGAAGCAATTAAATTTTTATTTAAATGTGTAATCTCATAAGTGTAAAATAAAAATAATAATTTTACTGAAGTGTAAATAATGAGAGTAACATGAGTTAATATATAGAATAGAATAAAGTAGAAGAAAATGCACCTCAAAAGGTGACATTAGCATAATGCTACCTTAAAATCTAAGCTTATAAAAATGTATAGGATAATAAGGCTCGATAATAATAAATAAAATCAGAAATTTGAAGGGCTACGAGCCAGAGGTACAAAAACAAAGAAAATATATTATAAAATTATAAAAATAAAATTATTACAGCAAAACAAACTAAACTTATAAAATATAATAGAAATAATAGTATATATATGTATATATATGTGTATATGGACGAAATAATAAACTCCTCTCCTAGCTAAGAAATACACAGTTAATGAAATGCAAGTAAAGACTGAAGTAAATTAAAATAATAGTAATTCAAGATAACATATAAAATATAAAAAAGAAATGTGTAAATAATAATAAAGTAATAATAAATGGCTAAGAATATATAGTAAAAAATAAAGAATATGAAACTGAAAATATCTTTCAAAATGGTATGAAAAAATTAAGACGTTAAATTTTATATAATATTTAAATAACGTTGGTCAAGTAAAAAGAGTAGTAATAAAGAAAAAAGAAATATCAGCGAAAAAAAGTTTTCGGTTCAGAAAAACGTTTCGCGGGAACCTATCAATTTTTGAATGTAATGAATTTTTAACGTAATCAGCAGCTTCTGCGAAAACGGGTATTATTTTCAGGCGCGCGAATGTGTATACGGGGCTTAACTTTAAAGCCCCAGAAATTCGCAGATGAATGAACCCTGCGCGCGGCATGGAAATGCATGTGCACACACGCGGTTTTACGCGTAAAGTCGAATGAGGCCTATCAAACCGCGTATTTTCATCAAGCCGACGATATATACCGGGCGCCATAAACGCGCCAGCGCGCGCACGGTAACAAGAGCAATATTTTAGGGTGTGACCCAAATAATTACTGGATGCTCGTGCGTTCGTTCGGTAAACATTTGGTACCCATCGTAAATCTACCGAGTAACTAGACTGCTGTTGATCGCTTCGAGGATTTCGGATGCGAGCATGCCATACGCCGCGCGAATGTTTTTACTTTTGCTTCTTCATTTTAGTCCACGGTATGATGAGGAAAAATGATCGAATCATTTGTTTCATGCAGAAAACAACGTTGTGAGAAAATTAAAAAAAAATGTGTTTACTACATCTTTTACAAGAATATAAACGCAAACAAAATATTGAATATTCTTTGACGATTAAAATATATTCATAAGAAGTTTTAAACAATTATATTTGCATATCGCTCCTTGTTACTTCAAAAGTGACACAATTCAAATAATCAAGTTTCCCAGAAAGGAGGAAAAATTATTTTTTGACTTGACAGAAAATTATTGTCTAACCAAATAATATCTACAAAAAAATATATTCTTAATACGATCAAATATTATTTATCATTTTAGTCTTATTAAAAAAAAAATCACTCTTTTTAAGTTGTGACAATTTTTACAATTTTAAATGAAATTAATTTATTTTTGATAATTAATAAGACAATATTTATTTAACCCATTCATGATAATAACTCGAAATTAGTTTTTTTAGTTATGTCACTTTTTAAGTATAAAAAAAGCGGTATTGAAAAAATACAAATTTATTTAATTTTCTAGGGAAGAAAACTTAATTTCTCTTAAACTTCATTTATCTTATTAATTAAGTCTTTTTTAGAATGACTGATTTAATTATTGCAAGATTAATTGACCGACTTAAAAGCGACCTAATTCGTTTCGCTTTAAAACTCACAAAAAATGACAGCTAATTGTCAATTTGTTTAATTGTTGCGAAGCAATTTACCACAATCTAGATGTGTCCTAGATATCAGTCTTATACTTCTTACGTATCCTTGAGAACGGCGTGATAATTAACTCGTGCATCAATCGATCCCACGTGTGAGCGAAGACGTTTTTAAGACCGCAGAGACTAGCCGGCAATGACGTTCAATGACGGTCGTAACGAAAGTTACGTTGATCACGACCATCGCGAGCATCAGCGAGAGTTCTAACAGCCCTGAGTCGTACAAGCGCAATTTTCCGCGGCGTAGAGAGGAGAAAAATGTGTATAAACGGTGTAATAAACAAGCGGATCAACACTTACGTGGCATGATGCCTTGCGCAACCAGCTGATTGATGGGTCGCCTCAGCATGAGCTTCACCTTCAACGCTGCAACAGAAAAAGGGAACCGCCGGTCATAAAGTGTGTCTCTTTAGTTATGGGGAAGAAATTAGGGGCCAATTCGAGTGAGCGGCCTCCTCTTCGTGGAACTTTTATTCGAACGAGTGCGTTGCACCTCGGCGAGACGCGACGCGGAGAGGTCGCTCGCTCGTGAAATTCTCCCATCTCTCAGCAGTATCTCGCTCCAATTTCTGTGGGATTTCCGCGGAGGAGTCACGACAGTCGCGAAAGCTCAAGTCGTGACGCGGGATGCTTCTATAAAAACCGCAGAGATCAAAGTCGATCACTCGCCCCAACTTGTGGCGCGGATCTTTCTTGCTGCGTTATTTATCCTGCGCATATCACACGTCTTTTTGGTCCCTTTAAAGATAAAATAATGTTTATAATCATTTTTATAACAGGGTGTTAATTAAAGAAAGACATTAATTCGATTCTATTTTTATTAGCATTATTAATATACACAAAATATTTCTTTAAAATAACATCAAGATTAAAATAGTAGACATCTTATACATTGGACATACTATCTTTTTAAATGATGCTTTTATTTTTACGAAAAAAACGTAGATAGATTTTTTATATTTAGTTATACACGGAGAAAATTTTATATTAAGTTTTAATATAATTTTAAATTACACTTTACTATGTCTTGAATTTTCGTATGGACCCTCACAACATAATTCCGATTTAACTTTTACTATGGAAATGCTAATTTTTATCACATAAATAAAGTAATTATTTTGTTAAGCCATATTCTAACATGAAAACAGTTAATTTTTACTATGGTACGCAAACAAAATTTGCTAGATATATATTTTTTACTTATCTTTATAATACTTTCATTCAACAAGATTTGATTTTGTAATAAAAAATTTTACTATAAAATTTACTATGAAAAAGTAAAAATTACATTGTATTATTGTTTTTAAAAAAATAATTATAGCATTTAAACTTATAATTTACATGAAGACCGCAGCTACTACTACATTATAGTAATTTTAAATATAAAATTTTCTCCGTGTAGCAATATCAACTTTTAAATTAACGTAGCCATACTTTTAATTACGCATAGGTTGATATTATCTAAAATCTGTTTTCCTGTAAATCGGAAAAATGCGAAGGTGTGCGTTGGATCGATCAAAAAGATCGAAAAGATTCACGGTTCGTTCTCCGCGCAAGATATCCGAATACAAATTAACACACAAAGGGCCGACGGTTATAAATACGCGTACGACGCGGGCCAGATTGCATAAATTGCCTGCGAAAGAGGAAGAACAAAAACGCGGAGGCCGCATGGCCGTACAATCTGAATTCAAAGCAGCCAATGTGCCGGCGAAATGCCTGGCGCACTGCCTTTGAGCATAATGGCTCATCCGCGGTGGGATTTGTTACTTCAGTGCTGCTGCTGAACTCGTAATTCGTTCAGGTTCCCTCGAATCGTCAACGAATGTTAAATTGGCAGCTCTCCCTCCTTCCTTCGATCTCTCGCGTCTTGTTAGAATTAGTCAGCGTTGAATGAAAATTACACTTGTAGCATTGCTTCCTGCTGTTGTTTTCTGTTTTACACCGACATTGATGAGTAATGATTAAATTCCTTGCGGGTAGTTACATTTAAACTACTATTTCGGGATTGAGATATGCCCACTGAGATTTCGGTCAACATTGTACTTTGGCATGGAATAACTTAAATTCGCGATGCGACAAATCCCTCGGAGTGATCTATCGTCTTGTATTCCTTACGTAAACGTATTACAACGTATGTGTCGAGCAAGACAAAATTATAATGGAATTTGATCTTTTATACTTCCTTTTCTCACTAACTAAATGCCATCGTAGTTATTAGCGTCCGTCCTCCGCTCTTATAATAGGTACCTTTTACTTTCTAGCCGATTCTATTTTGGCATTTATTTTGTTTCTTCGCTCCGCCTTCTTTGTTCCACTTCGATGCATTTAGAATCGTCTGGGAATTAATATTTTCTCGTTTCGTAATCAGTTTTCGTGTATTTTAGTATTTTCATCCGTCTGTGCACCCGATGCTATCTTTGTACAATAAAATGTGTAATCACGAATACAGCTACATTCCGAACGTGATTTCCAGGATCGATAACGGGGATACCGATCAGGAATGCTCGTTAAGGGATAAGGCTATCGCGATTAAAGTGCGTTGATAAGATTCTATAGTGTTTGCTTGCACTTTGTACCTACGGTCATAATAATTCGTACTTGATCGCAATTTCCAATCGGCGCGTTCCGCAATTATCGCATCGTAATAATAATTCGCGCTAATTAGCGAGTCCATTCCGTTAAATTAAATCAGGTCGGTTAGTTGCTGCAAAATAAGTTTGCCAACTCTCCACTCTACCTAGTCTCTTTAATAATACTATGGCGCGCAAACTCAACAATGTCGTAACGACATTGCTGCTCTTTATGGACATTCGACTTCGTTCTGTGATGTCGCAATTGTGGCCGCGTTTTATGAATTGTCAAGAAATCTTGTGGACTAAAACCTCGAAGTATACTTAAACAATTTTAAAGATTTTTATTTCAGACACGGAAAGAACAGTTTTGCTAAAATATCTAAAAATTTAGCTAGATACAGGTCTGAAAATAATTCTCTTTCGACCATTAAAATGTAATTATGTAAGACTTAAAATGGTTGCAAAAATGTTAAAACTTTTCGCAGTATTGCCAACAATATTGTTAGTCTTTTAAATAATTTTTTTTATAATCCAACAAAATTATTTTCAGATATAACTAAATTTTTAAATACTTCAGTAAAACCATTTGATTCGTATATTCTTAGAAAATTTAAAAAAATTTCAGAAATTACAATTATTATCGTAAATTAATACAATGAATTGAAGATTCGTTGCATTGTATGATTTTCTCGATTTTCAATTTTATAATTAGACGATAAATAATGAAGATTTGAGTAAATCGCAGATCCGAGAGAAACTGAGCAGAGCATAGTGGAGCAAATCTAGATTGGAGCATCAGAGGAAGGATAGACGCGGAGAAGATAGATACTAACGACCAGAGTGGCGTTAGCTACCGAGAGATATGCTGGACCAAACGATGGTTCTCCCATCCCCCTTCCTTCTCTCTCTTTCTCTTTCCTTGTTTCTTAAGCATAGCACACGTGCATAGTTGCGCACGTGCATAGTTGTCCCGTGTAGCCGGTGGCACTGCAGGTTACGACTTTGTGGCTCGTGGATGATCGCGCTTACGTGAATTCCCACCGTGTTTCGCATTTCTGGGAGCTACTCGTCGTTATTTCGCTTCGTAAGCCACGCCGCACCGCAGCGCGCGCTGTGCCGCTACGGCTAATTTCTTAACCCCGTGGGGTCGAGCATCCTCTGAGTTCCGCGCGAAATCGAGTTTCAACACATCGTAATTAATGGCGATATGTATGAGAGAACGGGAAGCGAAACTCTCAAGAAGATAACTTTCAAACATATTTCGCGGCTTATGAATAGACATCGGTAAAAATATACAGAGCAACGAATTTAGATTTCGACATTTAAAATAAATAACTTTATTTTTATTTTGCGTCGAGTGTCTTTTTTAAAATATTCGAAAGAAAATATACCTATTATTAGATTAACATAATAATACTTATTTACAAAATTAACAAAAGAGAGAATAGAATTATATCTATTTTATTTTTATTTTTTTTTCGTAAAAATTACGACTAACAATTTGGAGCAGCTGTAATTATTTATATGGCGCTTGCGTGTACAAATATACGTATGATTAATGCGTCGGAACATTGCTAAAGTTGCTATCTATCATATTCCAGTATTTCCAAATGTTTACACAGTAAACACAATAAATCTTGCGGCAGACATCTTTTACGATTGCAATAAAACTCATGATGCTAATATCGTGCGAGTACCGATACTACCTCTTTATGGAAATCCTATCGATTCGTAACGCGGGTCTATTTACGCGAGCGTTTACACGCATGCATTATGCGTGCGGATATATCGGGGGTGCTCACTTTGAACCAAATTCATTATCGGCCTCCTACGCATCGGCCGCGTCGAGTTCTCGTGTTAATTGCAAAGTTTCCGGATGCCGTGAGATATGGGAACCACGCGCCGCCGCAGGCATTCGCGCCATCCATAGAATGCAGATTTGCACCGGTGCATTCCTTGGGGGAGGCGATTATCCCCACGTGCATCGAGGTATACAGCCTTTACCACTTTGATTCTCGCTTCGGCCGTATCTTCCCTCTGCGATGCAACGCGATTACACGGAAAGAATGGTTTTGATGAAACATTTCACATTTTGCTGGATACAGATCTAAAAGTATAATTTTGTTGGAAATTCAAACTGGTTGATAGAATCTCAAAATTTTTTGCAGCATTACTCATAATTTTTTAGTTTCCAACATAATTATTTTGGTAGTCCAACAAAATTGTTTTCAGATCTGTATTGCGCTAAATTTTAGATCTTTTAACAAAATCTTTTTGTGTACAAATTCACGATAAATAATTCAACGAGCAGTAATCGATCCATTTGTAAGAATAACTGGATAACACTTAATAACATTTAATTAATATTATATAAGGATTGTTATCGATGCGGCCTTACTTGTATAATTTGCGTCACAACTTTCGCATAACTATAATCGTACGAAGAAACGATTTTGCTGAAGCATCTACAAATTTAAATATAGATTTGAAAATAATTTTGATAAATTATCAAAATAATTATGTAGAAAAATTAAACGTGATAAGCAATGCTGCAAAAAGTTTTGACATTCTAGTAGCAAATATTATCGTCAGATGACAGCTGTATGCTAAAAATAAGTGATATTTTAAATTTTTTTTTCGTTTTTGATACAAGCCGATGTTTGCAATAATTAATTTTTAGGATCCTCTTAAATCAGAGTGTTAAATCCACATCATATTGTTCATATCAACATCAACACAGTGAGAATATATAAACATTGGTATAGGATAAATTTATTTCTACATTTTCAG